AACATTGTTGGCAGCTCTGAGTACACGTGACAGCGGAATACGTTAGGTGTAGGTGACAGTGACATTAGAGAACATGCTGAAAGATGTTCTCATGGAGTTTTATGCAAAGTTCACATGCTGATACAATATAATGCATACAATACAAACAAGTAAATCCAGTTAGTTTTGTATTCCTGAAGATTAAACAGGTGAACTAACAGATGCATACCATCAGACACACACACCCACAGTATACTCGTGCTAAAGCATAACCGCAAATTACTCTTTCTGCAAAAGCAGTCCTATTTCTAAAAGGATGAATTATGCAGAATTATTTCAGTAACATCTTATCCTGCTCAGGGTCACACTGGATCCATAGCCAGGATTTCTCTTCTTTTCTCTGTTTAGTTTCAAGGAAATCTTAAAAAAAAAAAAAAAAAAAAAAAAAAAGGGCATTTGCTAGCCTGCCATCTAGTGGTTTCTACTATGATTGCATGAGTAAAATAATGATAATATAATAATGATAGTAATTAATATTATATGTACGCGGTGTGTGTACAGGTTGAGTGGTGAATCTCCGTTCCAGGGAGAAAGTGATACAGAGACTCTGGCTTTAGTGACTGCGGCCCAGTGGGAGTTTGACGAGGAAAGTTTCGAGGATATCACAACTCAAGCCAAAGACTTTATCAGCTCTCTACTGCAGAAAAATGTCAGGTTAGACATTGGAGCACTGGGACACTCTCTCACACACACATACACATGAGCACACACACATGGAAACACGTTGTCCTCTCGGTACACAGGCAGCGGATGTCCTCAGAGGAAGCTTTGTCTCATTCCTGGATTATGACGTTAGAGTCTGCAGACCCCGGCGCTGCCAAGAACCTCTCCAAAGACAAGATGAAGAAGTTCTTAGCCAGGCAGAAGTGGAAGGTACTGAGAATTCATCTGTGAAGTCAGAAAAACTTTGAGATTCAAAGTGTCAGACTTTTTTTGGCTACAGATAGCTTGGTTTCCTCAGGTTGATGGATTCCTCTCCAGCAAGGGTATGGAGAGCGAAAAAATTACTTAATTATGTTATAAGAAGTAGGAGAATATTCTGGATGGACACTTCGCTAACCTGATTTACAATTTCAAATCTTATTTCCCTGAGGGAAAAAGAAAAGTCGCACTTACAGTTTCAGAAAAGAAGCACAATCTGCTTCCTGAGAAAACCTCAGAAACCTCCGCTCGCCTTTGGATATAGCTAACCTTGTGAAAGCTCGTTCTCGGCAAAGGGTTATCACTCCATGCTGATCATTTTCCAAAAACATCATATGCCAAAGTGTTTTATTCCTCTTATACAACAGCAATTTTCCAATCATGCATGTTTTTATTAATTAAAGAATGATAATTATATAGCTTTGATGCAGAAAGTATCTGTTTTTCTGAATATTGGTTTAATAAATCAGCACTCAGGCTTCAAACTAACTGTCTCACTCTCTCCATTATTCCCCATTTTCTTTAAAAAAAAAAATCTGGTGAAGGAGTGCCTGGAGTAAAAGATCACTGAAAGATGGTAGTGTAGCTGAAAACGTTTATGAATCACTGTTGTAGGGAGTAACAGAGACGGTTATTGTCATCTGCTTCTGTGTGCAGAAAACAGGCAAAGCCGTGCTGGCTCTGAAGAGGATGGCCATGCTGTCCAAATCCGACAACTCTGCGACTCTCACCAGCCCTGTGGATGGTAAATACACTCACATTCCTACTACACCATATTCTCCCTAACCACACATAATTCATCTTCTTAAGATTTTCTGGACTATAGGACACACATATGGCTTAAACATAGACACGGTATGTGTTAGAATGTTAGTATTAGGTGCATTACCCTTAATATATGTCCGTTTATTCGAGTTATGGTAGCTGTGCTGCCCCAGCGTTTGTGATACTTTGCTGCTAAAGACTGAAGTGAAATGATGCGTGTCATTAACCCTGTATCATAAAACGCTCCTGAGAATTTGTGGACTCAGTGATCAAGCTGTTACACAAAAAGACATTTGTTGTGTATAGTAGAAATCACAGATAATGTAAGCATGATTTTGGGCCATAGTGGGGTTTAAAAAATCCACTGCGCTGCAAATCGCAAATGATGTATCTCCATGATCAGACCTGCAAAGACCAAATTATCCTCACACTACACAGGTCATAACTACTGTGTCCTATCAACAGAATGACCCATAAATCTTCTCGTTATACTCTTTCTTTATAATGAGTTTAATGGGGGGAAAAAGCTTCATGTGCCTCAAATGAACAACGCAACGGTGCTCTTTCAGCACATTACACTGGACTAGGGGTTGCACGACTACTAACTTTTACTAGTTGACCAGCAAATGTAGTTGACTAGTTGTCTTTTCCATAGTTAAAGCAAAAAAGCAAACTGCATTTTCATTATCAGTTGTACACAGACTACAGATTACATTTCTAGGATCAATGCCTTTTTAGTTCACACTGTTAAAGGTGCAATAGTCCATTATTTAAAAATTTCTTACTTGTACAAATAACCTGGAAAATATGTAGAACACAATGGAAAATAACTGTTTAAGCCATGACCTCAGCACAAGTGTATTAAGCAGCTGAGAAAACCCACTTGGAAAGCTGATTTCTGGTTCGGAATGCTTGCTGGTGTTTGGATGGGCCGCCTGTCAGTCTTGTCTTTCATCAGTCATTTTATAAACACTAGATCCTGGGAGCAGAGCTTGCCGAACATGGGCAATGGCAATGGCAATGAACATGGGCAACATATACACTACTGAACAAAATCTTAAGACCGGGGGAAACATTCCAAGTATTCGCATTTCACGCTGGTGGATCATAACCAGGTTGTAAGAACTGCTTCAAAATGTCAAAAGAAGAAAAAGGAGCAAGAGACAAAAAAACAGAGATTGGCAATTTATTGAAAACTGCATTTAAACGCAAACAGGCTGTTCATCAGCTGATCAAAAGTTTAAGACCATAGCCCAAAAATACCCACAACAGAGCTAAAAGTGTCAAAAAAGGACTCAGTAGTGAGTAGCCCCACCGTTCTTGGTGATAACTTCAAACACTCGTTTCGGCATGCTTGATGCAACTGTTTCCAGGAGGCTGGTGGGAACGTTGCTCCATGTGGTGAAGATGGCTTCACGAAGGGCATCCACAGTCTGGAACTGACGTCCGTTTTTGTAAACTTCCCTTGCCATC